AGAGAGAGATTTGTTGTTCCACTTATTTATTCATTCATTGGTAGCTTCTTGTATCAAACCCTCAATCTTGGCATATCAGGATGACACTCTAACTAACTGAGCAACCCAGACAAAGCCAAAAAGCAGATTTTTTTTTTAATTTAAGGAAATAGCTCAGCTAGCAAATGGTGGGACCAAGTTTCAAACTCAGGCAATCTGATGCCCAGGGCCCAAGTTCTGTTTCAACAGCCCAATGCGGACCAGGGAGGGCTGTGGCAGCGTGATTTGCTACAACCTTTAGAGAAAGTAATGTGGTCATAGAGACTAATATTTAAAAACTCATTTCCTTTAAAAAAATAAATTAAAAAACAAACAAACAAAAAAACCCTCATTTCCTTTGACCTGCCATCCCCCAAATAAAAGAATCACCATGATCTTGTTATTGATTACTTGGTAGAATTTACCTGTAAAATCACCCGAGTTTGACAATGTTTTTTCTCATTTCTTAACTGTTTTCTGTTTTGTTGTAAATTTTAAACCACTGATTTTCTCAGTGTTGAAATGTGCTTTTGATTTTCTGTTGCTTCTTAAATTGCTTCTGACAAATTATTTATTCCATGAGATTGTGTCATTTACTAAGGTGATGTCTCTCAGTTCCCAGTCTACCCTTTTCTACCTTCCTGGTGGTCCTGGTACTGGGACTCAGCAAACCACTCCAACTGTAAGTTCCTACAATCCCCAGCCGACACTGATCAACTCTGTTACCTCAGTGTCCTTTCTCACTTTTCAACCATCCAACACCTGCTTAACCAATTCCCTATATTACTGTTGTGTTGAAGTACCTACTGTGGTTTCTGTTCACCCACCAGGGCCCTGACTGACACATCACCCACATAGTCTGTTTTCAAATTAATTGGAATAAAGTTGTTCAATAGAATTGAATAATCATCTGGAAAAAAAAACCACAATAATAGACACCTACCCTCAAACTATATTAAAAATATGAAATAAAGATCTACATATTAAAAGTAAATTAATAAAAGTATTAGTATATATCTAAAGAGATCCTAAGCAAGACAGGAAACCCAGAAGCCAAGAGGAAAAGATAAACATATTCAACTACATAAAATTAAACACTTTATCTTGGCAATATCCATTATAAACAGAATGAATTAAAAGACCATCATGGCCCTAGGCTGTTTGGCTCAGTGGATAGAGCGTCAGCCTGCGGACTGAAAGATCATGGGTTTGATTCTGGTCAAGGGCAAGTACCTTGGTTGCAGGTTCAATCCCCAGCCCCCGGTCAGGGTGAGTGCAGGAAGCAGAGGATCAATGTGTCTCTCTCTCACATTTGATGTTTTTCCCTTCCACTCTCTCTAAAAAAAAAATCAGTAGAAAAATATCCTCCAGTGAGGATTAAAAACAACAACAAAGACCATCATGGATTAGAAAAATATTTAACATACATTACATATGACATTTCATATCACTAATATGGAAATTATTAAGAAAAATAGTCTCAATAAAAAAATGGGCAAAGTAAATGGAAATTACAGAAAATCCTGAAAAAGACCAATAACCATCCTATCTAATAAAGAGGAAATATGCTAATTGACCCTCATACTGTCACAAAGATGGTGGTGCCCACAGCCAATAAAGAGGGAATATGCAAATTGACTGCCACCCTCAAAGATGGTAGCGTTCACAGCCAATAAGGAGGGAATATGCTAATTGACTTCCCCACCCTCAAAGATGGTGGCGCCCACAGCCACAAGATGGCTGGCAGGGGAGGGCAGTTGTGGGTGATTAGGCCAGCAGGGGAGAGCAGTTAGGGCGATCGACTGGCAGGGGAGTGGTTACAGGGTGAACAGGCTGGCAGGCAGGGGAGTGGTTGGGAACCAGCAGTTCCGGATTGTGAGGGGGATTTCCCAGATTGGAGAGGGTGCAGGCTGGGGGGGTTTAATTAAAAATTTTCTGATTAGGAGGGCATTTGGGGGTGATCAGGCAGCAGGGGAGGGCATTTGGGGGCAATCGGTACAGCAGGGGAGCAGTTAGGTGTCAATCAGGCTGGCAGGGGAGTGGTTAGGGGGTAATCAGGCAGACAGGCAGGTGAGCAGTTAAGAGCCAGCAGTCGTGGATTGTGAGAGGGATGTCCGACTGCTGGTTTAGGCCGATCCCTGTGGCCTGAACTGGCAGTCAGACATCCCCCAAGGGGTTCCAGATTGGAGAGGGTGCAGACTGGGCTGTTTTCAAATTAATTGGAATAAAGTTGTTCATGGTGATCTCTTGCTTATTACCTCTGTCGCATGTGTTTTGTCCTCTTTTCATTCCTAAAGCATGCGTGTGGTTTTTGTTTGTTATTTTTTACTTAATTTTTGTCTATCTCTAGTAGGCTTTTTAAGTAATAAATCTTGTCATTTTTTCATAATTTTTTATATTGGATACACTTTCATTTTCAACCTCTTTTCCCCTGGCATAAACATTTTACAACTATAAATTTCTCATAAATTATTGTGTTTTCTGTTACATGTTTGGATTTAGAATTTTTAAGCCTATATATTTTAAAATTTCTATTACGAGTACTTTGGAGAGAAAGTTATTTAGAAGTGTTTTAAAATTTCCAAATGTATTGAATACTTTTAAATTCTCCTTTTCTGATTTTGAAACTAGTTGCATTGTGGTTATGGAACTTAATCAATATGATTAAGTTCTGTGATATTTGCTGAGAATTCCATTATGGTCTAGTAGTGGTCAATTTTTATAAATATTCCATATGTATAAAATTCTCAAATTTGGGGATGCAGGATTCCATTTATGGACATTAGTTCAAGCTTAATTGCATTGTTCATTCTTCCATATCCACATCATTTTGTTTTGTCAACTTCTGAGAGTAATATGTTAAAATATTCTACTGTGATGATGAATTTGTCCATTTTTCTTTGTGACATGGTCACATTTTTGCTTTAAAGCACTAGAATGCAAGGCATATAGTCAAGGATATTAACTGCAACAGAATACCTTGGCAAAACCCTGAAAATTGACTAAATTCATTGCATGAAATATTAGACAACCATTAAAAATGACTTTATCCTATATTTATTAATTTAGAGGAAGATCCATGTTACGTGAAAAAGGCAGGTTTCAGAGTATGTACATTGGGATCCTGTTTTAGTAAACAAAACAAACATTTCTCTATTTGTGAATACATGTTTTGATATGTTTGAGTTAGAAAAAAAAGGCTGTTAACATCAGCTCTTTCCAGGCAGTGACTGAAGGGGGTGGGCAAGAGTATTGACAAATAACTGTTTTATTTTGCCTCCTACAATGCCATGTTTTACTCTGGCAACTTAAGGAAAGTCTAGTAAAGTAACGATGACCAGCACTCATCTCATGAAGCCTCGTTGAAGATATGCCATGTGAAGAAAGCAAGTCACACATGTTGTAATGATCTTATTATAGTGGCATGTACATGTTGATAAGGAAATGTCTGGGAACACACATACTACTAAGTCAGTGTTGTCTCTAACTGTGAGAATTATGGGGGCTTTTTCACTGCCATCTTTGCCCGTATTGTTTGCATTTATTTTATATATACATATTGTGTGTGCTATAAAAATAATTGTTTTAGAGGATGTAAGTACAAAAAGGCTATGACTCTCTCACCAAAGAAACCCCAAACAACAAAATCTCAGAAACTTCAATGCAAAATTTTACTATAACATCATGTAGTTGATAGCTTCTTTGAAGCCCCTCTATAGATCGCCTACATTTCTGCTCCATACACACAAGGAGAGTTTAACGGCAAAAAAATTAGTGGAACTGCTGCCCTGGCTGGGTGGTTCAATCGGTTGGAGCGCTGTCCCGTACACCAGAAAGGTTGTGGGTTTGACTCCCAGTCAGGGCACATACCTAGATTGTGGGTTCGATCCTGGTCGGGGTACATATAGGAGGCAACCTCTCAATGTTTCTCTCTCACAATTCTCACATCAATGTTTTTCTTTTTCCCTCTCTCCCTCCCTCCTTCTATCTCTAATCAGTAAAAACATATCCTCAGGTGAGGATTAGAAAAAGAAATGAGTGTCACTGCCAATTTCTCCCTTTATCCTCTGTGAGAGGCGCCGGCTCCGAGGTGCAACCTTGGTACTGGAGAATGGCTGGACTCCCGTCGGTAACAAGAACTCCAGCCGCACTGCAGGGAGACGCTGTGTACGCCCCTCGCACTGTTCCTGCTGTGTGAGCACCTGCCTGTGTGAGTGTGAGGGGTGGTCAGCTGGCCTGGATACCTTTTCAGGTTCTTATTTCTAACTCTCCACATTATTCATTCTTAAAAGGGCAGAAGATAGGAATGTAATAGTGTAATATATAAACACATATTCAACGTCATAATTTAACTTCTGATACTAACAATTTATATTCATCACATAAATGTATCTGGCGAGCTCTAGAGAGGTGAGTGAAGTGGCTGGGAGGTGGGCAGATGATTCTCTTCCAACCAGGTTTAGATTGAGCTTTATCCTGAAGGCGAGTGGAGGAGGTGTTTCGAAGGTGGGATGAACTTGGATTTATTGATTTGGGGGTGTGGGAGTCAAAGAGGAGTCAAGTTTGATGCCCAGGCTCCTGGCGTGGGCAGCCGGAAGGGGGCAGTGCCATATTGAGAGGGAATACCACAAGGAGCACTGGGGTATTTGAAGGAGATAAAGAAAGTAGATCCAAAGTACACATTATTTC